ATTTAAATGCTTCTCCTGTTCATTTGATGTCTTCAATAGGAGTTGAATTTATTAATTGTACTAATAGTATTATTATATCCTTTATATGGATGGATGTCCTTTCCATCCTTTTATACGTATTATATCCGTTATGTGGATTATATCCTCCACTCATCTGTCAGTTTGTCTTACTGTGATGGCTTGTGTGTTGCTATGACGCTGGAAGTTATGCCACTGGTATTTCAAATACCAGCAGGGTCACAGGTTTCAGCAGAGCTTCCAGACTATGACAGACTAGAAAGAAAGACCTGGCAATCTCCTTCTTAAAAAATTGGCCAGTATAAATCTTTTGAATAACAACGGAACATTGTCTGATACGGTGCTGAAAGATGAGCCCCCTCAGGTTGGAAGGCACTCAAAATATCACTGGGGAACAGCTGCCTCCTCAAAGTTGAGTTGACCATAATGATGTGGATGGAGTAAAGCTTTTGGGACCTTCGTTTGCTGATGCGGCATGACTCGAAAAGAAACAGCTGCAAACATCCATTAATAATGGGAATGTGGAATGTACGAAGTATGAATCTAGGAAAATTGGAGGTTGTGAAAAATGAAAGGGAATGCCTGAAGGACCGATATTGTAGACATTAGTGAACTGAAACAGACTGGTATTGGCCATCTTGAAAAGGACAGTTATATGGTCTACTATGCTGGGAAAATGGAAACCCTGGTGGCATAGTAGTTAAGAGCTACGGCTGCTAACCAAAAGGTCGGCAGTTCAAATCCACCAGGCTCTCCTTGGAAACCCTATGGGGCAGTTCCACTCTGTCCTATAGGGTCGCTATGAGTCGGAATCGACTCGACGGCAATGAGTTTATGCTGGGAATGACAAATTGAAGAGGAATGGTGTCACATTCATCATCAAAAAGTACATTTCAAGATCTATCCTGAAGTACTGCTGTCAATGATGGGATAATATCCATATGCCTAAAAGGAAGACCAGTTAATACGACTGTTATTCAATTTATGCACAAACCACTAAGGCCAAAGATTAAGAAATTGAAGATTTTTACCAACTTCTGCAGTCTGAAATTGATCAAACATGCAATCAAGATGCATTGATAATTACTGGTGATTG